CCGGCTTCGCAGCGGGACGCTCCCAGCTAACTTCTGCGCCTTCCCCTAGCCTTAGGGAGCTCCCAGGTTTCCGGGCCCAGGCACACCACAAGCCCCCTCCCCAGGCTTGCGGGGAATTGAGAAGCGGGGACAATCAGTGTGAACGGGGCGCCCACACTAACACCTTCTGGGTTGCAAGCTCTGCACGGTGGGTAGGGAGAGGAAGGGTGTCTTACCAGAATTTCGGAGTTTCTTGTTCCTTGTAACAGCCAAAATGACCATGGTGTTGCCGATCAGGTCTACGATGACGGTGAAGACCATCACGAAGAACATGAAGGTGACTAGGCCCGGCGGGTAGTCCGGCTGTGACAGCTTACAACCAATACAGCCATAGGGGGTCGGGACTGCCAGGTTGGGTCTCATGTTGCTCTAGGAGACCCTTGAGATTCCTCAGGAGGCTCAGGATCCGCAGCTGGCCGGGTAGCCAAAACCTACTCTGTTGCTGCTCTGTCCCCTGGAGCTAGGGAAAAGTGCACCCACCCCTCCGGTGTCCAGAGAGCAAATGACAGTGGTCCACCCCCTCCGATGAGCTTTTAACGCCTCGAGAAGTGGTTAGCCCCACCCAAAACTCCTCCCTCTGACCAATCAGAATTCCCCAGCCATCCACTCCTTAATTACCACCTCCTCCAGGACAAATCCACAGCGAGGTGTCCTCTTGCTTCCCATTCCCCTGTTTGTTCTTCCTCTGGAGCCCGCCACCCCTCCCTCCTGTCCCTCAGGTACTCTGCTTCCTGACTAGCTCAGGGTCGCCCTCCCTTCCAGCCTCCCCGCATCCATTTCTAGCAAGTTCTCCTTTGGCTTCAATCCAAACACCTGGCAAATGACTGTAGATTGCCGAACAGGGACACGGGGTCTTCTTGGGCTCTTGGGCCAGCCCAAGCCGGCCTGCATTACCCATCAGGGTGTAGGAGACAGCCGGTGGGTCCTTAACTCTTAGCCCGGAGCCCTACAGTCTCCGTAAGAGGTCGGCCCCACTCTGCCGGTAGGAGCACCTAGGGGAGCGGGAGACTACTGCTGCGGGGTCTTTCACCCCCAGTCTGAGTCCGGGAACTTATGCCTGCTCTGGTTCCCGTCAGGAGCCGGATTAGCTCCCAGTGCGGCAGCAGCAAGTGACTTCTGGGGTCCCCGGAGAGGTCCTGGGCTCAACAGGAACAAATTTACGCGGTGCCGCGCTCTAGGAACGAGGGGATGCAGCTGGTGACCGCGTGGTCCCGGGCTTCGGGACGAGAGAGAGCCGGACCTCACCCCCTCCCAGCGGCGGGCCTGGTGGAGGCTCGGGCCCCCAAAAGCAGGCAGGAAAGCCCTCCTGTTACGCGGCCTCGCTTCCCGGACGTCCGGGGCCAGCGGCTCCGGCTTCCGTCCCCTCTCCGGGTGCTCCGCGCCATCTACTGAGAAGCCCTGGGCAGCCCAGCGCCCTCTGCTCCAGTCCAGGCGGCCCTAGGCCCTTCCCCAGTCCCCCGTCGCTCCCTAGCAAGGATCTTTTTTTCCACCCTTTCCCTGTCCTCTCCAGACGTCGCCGATCCCCAATCTGGAAGCGCACATTCCGTGGGAAATCGGGTGTTCTGGCTCAACTAAAGGGGCTCCATCCGGCGCTGGCCCCTCAGCAAGTGTGGGCAGAAGCCCCTTCCCCTGAAGCTGCATTCGGCTGCGGACAGACAGGAGCCCGGAGGGCGCCAGACCCTGAAGGAGACTAGAGCTACGAGCTGGGGTTTGGGGTCACTGGCTGTCCCTCGCACTCGGACAGGGGGTGCGAGCCAACACTCTCCCTTTGGGAGTGGATTTCAGCTGGCCGCTAAAAATTCAGACCTCTGTCCAGAAGTCTGGTGGAGAATCTCCGAGAACACCTCGAAACTTCTTGCCACAACACCCACCCCCACCCGCCCAGGGGTGAAAGGGGTGGCCGTGATGGGGGAATCTGAGGGCGCGTGGATCTCGACCTTCAGAAACCTTTAAAGGGAAAACACACGCTACGGAAAACTCAGATTGTACACACGTTCTCTGTCGAAACCCCAAAGAGAAAATGTGTCCCCCTGCTTGAGGCTGAAGCCCCCAGCACCATCCTGTGCTCCCAGCTGAGAACAGGAACTAGCGCGAATTAAACCCACGCCTGCCCGCAGCCCTTTTTCCGTCACAACCCCTAGCTCTCCTCCACCACATCCCCTCCGGCCGCATCCTGGCCCTCGGCCGGCGCTCCCCGCTCCCCCGGCGACTCGGGCAGGGGTTCCCCGCAGCTCTGCGGTCCTCCCTAACCCGGTGCGCTCCTGGCCTTGGCGGAGAGGCAGCCTGGCAGCCCCAAGCCGGCGGGATTCTGTAGATCGGCCTCCGGTTATTCAAACTGACTTCCCAGAGGGTTTGGGTCGCTTTGCTTGAGGGAAGGAGATACAGTGTTTTAAATTAAAGTGAACAAATAAAACAAAATTGAAAAGGGAAAAGGGGAGACAAGGATTCCAGGGATTTAAGACCTTAGACTCCAGCGCTGGCTGTTTCCTGTGGTTGGGATCTGGATAGGAGCGAGCCGATCGGGCTGCTGACGGTTGGAACACTGCGTGACCTGACCGTGAGCTTCTGAGACCTGGGTTTTCAATACCGGGAGGCAGCTATTTTAATAACCTAAGGAGTCTACTGCCAGCCCACGCTGGTCCGCTCTGGAGAACTCTGTAACTGATTGAATTAATTTTCTTATTTTTATGAACTAGTCCTAATAGAGGTTCTGAACATTGCTCCAGTGCAAAGAAAAACAGTGAATCAACCAGCTGGAAACAGGACGGAGAGAACCAAGACCTCTTCGCCACGGTAGAAGTCTCGCATGCAATAAATTCAGATCCCAAAGATTTAAAATTAAGAGTCTTTCTAAACGGCCTGCTAGGGATGAAAGGATAAAGAAAATGTGGTATATACACGGTGGTGTACTGCTGTCTCCTGAGGAAGGGTAACCTCGAGTCATACGTAGGAAAATGGAAGCTCACTGAGATCGCCGTGCTACGTGAGATAAATCAGACACACGGGTTTAAATAGCACATGGCTTCTCTTATATGAGAGACCCAAGATAGAGCAAAACAAAAGAGAGATGTATCATGTACACATACAAATTCCCTATGATGAAAAAATATTCCCTATGATAAATATGATCATTGTGTATATCCAAAATGTACCAAACAACTTTTTGGGTGTTTTTTGTTTGTTTGTTTTGGGGTTTTTTGGTTTTGGTTTTGTTTTGGTTTTTTGGGGTTTTTTTGGGGGGGGGGTTGTTTTGTTTTGTTTTGTTTGTACGAGGGATGGAACTCAGGTCCTTGTGCTTGTGAGACAGGAGCCAGAACCACTGAGCTAAATCCCTGGCCCTTATACCAAACAACTTTTAAAAAATAGATAATAGGAAATAGGAAGATAGATGTATTGCAAAAGGAAAGGGGACCAGGAGATGAAGGAGGAGGACGGAGAGGAGGAGAAGGGGATGAGAAAAGAAGATGTATTGGGTACGTGTACCAACTCCCCATGAGGAATGTTAATCATTATGCACTGCAAACAGGGATGAATAAAACATTTACAAAATAAAATGCGAAGCCTGCCGGGATGCCTTAATAAGTGGGGTGCATAGAAACACATTACTGGGGCTCTGAAAGCCGTCAAGATATAAAATCCAAATGCAGGAGAGCTGGGACATTCTCTGAAGCACAACAGAGCACGCAGGCACTTTCTGCTCAGGAATGGGAGGCCTTCTGGTGTTGCACTTGTAGGGCGCCTGTATCTCCGGAGCAGAGTCACTTTCTAGCTTTTGTTTAAACCTCGAGCACTACAATAGTGCATTGCGTGTAATTTGGGAATGTATTTTAAGTAAGCATTTTATGGCTTCCTCATGCTTCTACAGGATACATTTTCTCCCAGGAAGGCCATTAAATAGATGGGGAAACTGAGGCCTAGTGAGGTGAAATAAGTTGCCCAAGGTCATGGCGAGGCTGATGGAGGAGCCCAGGCTTGGATCCAGACTCATCTCTCATAGCCCAGCCTGGTGATAATAGTGCTCTTGCTCTGGGTCTCCATAGGGTTGGCTCCCGGTTGTCTTTTTATTATCCTGCTGCTTCTGACTTCTTTGTTTTTGTTGAAATTTAACACTCACACCACAACATTCACCCTTTACAGTGAACAATTCAGTCACTTTTGTAAATTAACAAAGCTGTGCGACCATCACGATATCTAATTTCAAACGCTTCTATCACCTCAGAAAGAATCCTCAGACCCATTAGCAGCCACTCCTCATCCTGCTCTCCCAGCCCCCAGTTTCTGGAAATCACTCATCTGCTCCCTGTCGGGATGGATTTGCCTATCTGGACATTTCATGTAAACAGGACCACATGGTATATGGCTTTCTGTGTCTGGCTTCTGTCCCTTAGCACTTTCACTGACGCAGTAGCCGGGTTAGTACTTCCTTTTCGCGGCTGTGTGACATTCCATTGTATGGACAGACCAGCTCTTGCTTATCTGTTCTTCCATTAACATTTTGCTGCTGTTACCGAGAAATGATGCTGAGAACATCCGGGCTTCTCCTTAGCCCCTGGATGGAGAAGCAGAAGGCCTCTTAGACCCACCGCCACTGTCCTGCAGGCAGGGCTGGACAACCCAGGGCTGTCTCGGGCCCTCCAGCTTCCTGTGGTCAGTATTTCTCTGAATTACTGAATCATTTGCTAAAGCTACCTTACATACCATTGGGGGATTCACTAATATAGAAAATGAGAACTTGGCATAACGCCACTAAAAATGAAAACGTCTTTCCGCTGCTGGATGGATGGATGGATGCATGCGTGGGAATTGCATTTGACTTCATTCTTGAGAACAAAACCAAACTGGAGCCTAGCTCTTCCTCGGATGAGATGTGTGGCCTTGGGCAAGTTGCTCAGCCTCCCTGTGTCTCAATGGCCTCAGTATAAAGTGCAGATCACCCCAGTGCCTGTGAGGTTGATGGAGGGTTACAGGAGACCATGCACTAAGCACCTAGAGCAGAGTAAGCACTGAGCAACCACTAGCTATTACTGTTGCTGTTGTTATCGTGGAAACTTCTGACTCTCTGTCAAAACTCTTTTATTGCATCTCTCTCCAGTATACAAGCTTTCTGGGATAGCAGAGATTCCGCAGCCAGCTGGCCCTCCTGGCACAAACCACTCAGGGGGCACTCGCCAGCATCCCAGGCCACTGTGAGTGTAGGTGAAAGAGACTCTCAGGAAGACTTGCTTTTACTCTGCCTGTCCCTGCCTGAGACGCTGCCCTGGAACGGCTTGTGTGCTTGCCACAGCAGAGAGTGATGGGGTCTCTGACGTGGCTCAGGAGAAGTGAGGGGAAAGGCGGGCCTAGAGACAGACAGACCCACCCAA